GGGGGGCGCGGCGGGCGCGGGGGGCGCGGTCATGTGCAGCAGCAGCTTGCCGCGCGCGCCGCCCTCCGCCGCCCGCTCGTAAGCCTCGCGCCCCGCCCACCACGGGAACACGCGCTCGACCGCCACGGTGAACTGCAACACGACACGACATCATACTGCGCCCGCTGCTTCAACTTTAACTCCATAAAAATTATTCACGTCGACGTTTTTCCAAAACTACCGTTCTTGTAAAGGAACGATATTATAAAACGAAAATAGTTCAGTAATAACAACAATAAAAAGCCTAGTTTTGACCGTCGCTTTTACATAAGAATGTTTTTACTGTTTAATTTTTGTGGAATAAAAGAATGATGACACAACAATCAGTAATACCTTGCCGGCGTCGGCCAGTCGACGCAGCAGCTGCAGATCGTGTGCGGAGGGCGAGAAGAACGCCCAGCGCACGTGCGGCGGGCACAGGGCGGTGGGTGCGGTGGGTGCGGTGGGTGCGGTGGGTGCGGGGGGTGCAGCGCGCGCTGCGGCGGCCGAGTGCGCGGCGAGGCGCAGCGCGGCGGCGGCGGTGCCGGCCAGCAGGCCGCGGCGGTCAGTCTCGCGCAGCAGCGGCGGGCTCAGCGTGACGTAGCGGCCGAAGCGCCAGGCGCGCGTGCCGGCCGCCGCGCCGCCCAGCCCCGCGCAGTCCAGGATGGCGTCGTACCTGCGTGCTCTTATGCTATGCGTGTGCGTGTTGTCTCGCCCGAGCTGGCCGAGCTGGCCGAGCTGGCCGAGCTGGCCGAGCTGGCCGAGCTGGCTTGGCTTGACAAGGAGTCGACGCGTGCTTATTGCGATTCAATTATTTATTTGGTGTGTACTGCATTCGTAAAAACGCTTGTATTGTGTAACAGTGTGAGCACCGTGCAAAACATTTAACTTTCCTAAACTATGTCGAGATGATAACTGTTTGTACAACCAGAAATATAAATACTTAACGAAAAAAATCTATTATATTTTTTTCAATAACTACAACTAGCTGCCAAAGGTGGGCATTAACTCGTTAATCCGTTAATCGTTAATTAACGAAGTTAAAATGTTTGTTACCGGATTAATTTTTAAGTAAACTACAAAAAGTGTTAGTTTAGACCGCTAATCGTTAACATTAGACACTTGGTGATGTAATGTCGTTTTGTTTAAATTACGCGCCACGCTACGCTCGAAACACTGTCACGTGAACCAGAACGAAAACCAGTTCGATATATATTATTTGTGAACGCAACCCTTCTAATGGTCGGGGATGCGCGCACACGTAAAAACATTCTTGATTTGTTTACTAATTGTTCGAATAATATAGAACGAGATAGAGTTGGAGATAAATAAATGTGTGTTTAATTCTTCTTTCTAGTTGAGTTACCTATTTCTTTTAACGCAAAAATATTTTGTAAGTATGAGTTTCATATGGTTAACTGTTAACGATTAATTTTAACCTGCGTTATATTTTCGAAAATCTAACGTATTAACGATTAACGAAGTTAACTTTTCGTTTAACTGTACCCACCCGTGCTAGTTGCCTATGTGTTTTTTCAGACTAAGTTCTATATGTATGCCAAATTTCCTCGAAATTCTTTCAGCCCTTGCGGAGATACCTTCAAACATCCGTCCATCCGTCTAAACTATCGCATTTATAATATTTGTAAGATTAATTCGAGTTACATTTTTCTATAAGACAAGGTGCAAACGATAGGCGAGAACATCTTATGGAAGTCGAAACAGCTAGGAAGTTTACTCACCGGTAACCAAAACCCTTGTAATTGCGGTGTTATAAAATTACAATCGTTTAAACAAGATAAGACGTGGAACTTACGGGCCGAGGTCCTCCAGCTGGCGGTCGTAGTCGGCGGCGTGTCGGTCCAGCGCCGCCGCCGCGCCCAGCGCCAGCGCGCGCTCCCCCACCTCGCCCGCACACCCCACCGTCACCTGCAACACGGCACTGCTCAGCGCCGCCCCCACCTGCGCCGGCGCCC